TTTAAAAGTTTTGGAAGTAATAATTGTACAATTGGCATATTTATGAATTATACGGGGCAGCTAAATGTTTGTTTGCTGAGAAGAAAAACACTTCTTCATTCAATGCAGCTTATGCTCAGAAAAATACACACAAGACTATAAAACTATGAACAGGTTGCTGTTAATTATTGCGAGGTGAAAGAAAAAAAGATTTCAAGTCCACCAGTTCTTACCAAGCAACGTTTCATTTGGAAGGACTGCACCTTAACAGCCTGTATGGCTTCATCCAGAAGCTTCTCTTGTTCATCTTGCGGAGACTGCTGTGTAGTTGGCTAGAAAACAAGGAAAGGAATGTTTTCTGATAAGAATATCAGGGGCAGCCTCTGCTACAAGACACAAAGAAATCACGTAGCCCACATCATGTTCCTCACTAGTTGCATTAAAAACACAAGTGAGCAACTTGTTCTGTCAGGGACACAACTGGGATGGAAATGCATAAAATATAGTGAACATGAACAGGTCTTCAGTTTTCCATGTTCTTCTCCCTGATTTAGAAGAAAGGAATATTAAAGTGTTCATTTTGTTTTTTAAAGTTGCTGTAACTTACTGTACAATCTATTACGAATGCTATAATGCTAGGAAAGGTGAAAGAAAAAAAAAAGGATGACTAACAGCCAGGCGGGTGGATTCAGTTAGAGAAATGATGAATGCACCACTGGAAGACCAGGTTAAAGGCAGTTCATCATGAGGAATATTGATTTATGTAGTTGTTAAGAGCTGACACCAACTTGATAGCACATTGATCATTTTTTGTTTTAAAGCAGGGGTCCCCAACCCCTGGTGTGTGGACCAGTACCGGGCCGCGGCATGCCAGCAACCGGTCCACACAAACAAGCAAAGCCCCATCCATGAGATGCAAGCAGCACACAAAACTACACACTCTCCGGTCCGCGGAAAAACCTCTCTCCACGGAACCGGTCGCTGGTGCCCAAGAGGTTGGGGACCTGTTCTAAAGCATAGTTCAGAAAGTGCTATGTCCATGTGTTACCAATTTCTCTGCAGGTAGTCCTTAACTGACAACCATTCATTTAGCGACAGTCGAAGTTAAGACTGGCACTAAAAAAGTGACTTATGACTGGTCTTCACCCTGATGACCATCGCAGCATCCCCGTGATCGAAATTTGGGCACCTAGCAATCAGCATATATTTAAAACTGCAGCATCCCAGGGACATGGGATCAACATTTGTGATCTTCCCAGCCCACTTCCAACAAGCCAAGTCAATGGAGGAAGTTGGATTTGCTTAACAATTGCAGGTCTCATTTAACAACTACAGTGATCCGTTTAATAACCCTGGCTAAGAACAAAAAGTTGTAAATTCGGGTGCAACTGAATTAACAACTGCCTTGCTTAACAACAGACATTCCGATCCCCATTGTGACTGTAAGCTGAGGATTACCAGTATGCGCAAAACTAAAAAAATAATGTAGCCATTTATTAAATTTGGATACTGCCCAATTCCTTGCAGCTCGTGATGACTACATTGTCTAAAGAAGGATCCCCCAAAGTGATCAACACAACCCTTCAGGGCAGTTAGTTAAAGTAGCATATTAAGTTATATATTAAAATTAAGTTATTAAATTGTAATAAATGTTGGGGGAGTGGGGCTTGGAGAACAATCGGAAACTTGAGGAAGAGGTCAGCGAGCTGTGAAGAGTTTGGTCTTCACAGGGGGCTGGTCTAAGGCAAACCTAACATGGGTCTATGACAGGGGTCTTGAAACCAGGGTTGTGGAGTCGGTAGATAAATGTTCCGACTCCGACGTTTTTTGTACTTCCGACTCCGACTCCTCTGTATTAATATGCGAATGTATTTTATACATTCCTTGAAGGAAAGAAAGGCAACATACATGTCATTACCACAGGACTACAGGCAGAACACAACACTATGGAAAGTATAAGTAATTCCAATCTAAATTTAGTAGGAGTCGGAGTCAATGCATTGTTTGCCGACTCTGACTCCAGGTACCCAAAATTTCCTCCGACTCCGACTCCTCGACTCCGACTCCAAAGCCCTGCTTGAAACTTGGCCACTTGAAGACTTGTGGACTTCAACTCCCAGAATTCCCCAGCCAGCCATGGCTGGCTGGGGAATTCTGGGAGTCGAAGTCCACAAGTCTTCAAGTGGCCAAGTTTCAGGACCCCCTGGTCTATGACAGTTGGCCACGGCCAACTTGCCTTGGCCAACTCGCTGCAGGACAAGAGTTGCGCCAACATCAAAGAAATGGCGGAACAGAATCACTGAAGGAAGGATGCAAAAGGAGGGTCAGAATGAAAGGCGAATGTCAAGAGGTCAAAGTCATTTTTCATTGATTTCAAATAGCAAAATAGAATTGCTAAACTCTCCCCCAGCCAGGTTGTCCCATTCCCACCCACCCAACCTCTTTTATTCAAAAGACCGGATCCTTTTGCCCCAACAGCCCAGGGGATCCACCCAACCACATCTCCTGCACCCCCACCCCATAGAAAAGACCCCCCAAGCAGCCTCTGCCCAGCCTTACTTCCTCCTCGCCCCCCCTTCTCTGACTTTGCACCTCAGCCAGGCCCCACCATCCTCCCAGGCACCCCCCCCAGTTTTACACGCGTGTAGGGCTCCACACGTGCACGACCCTTCCACCACCACCCCGCCCCTCCCCAGCCAGCCAGGGACTGACTCGGCCTTCCCTCCGCCTGGCAGGACTTCTGGACTGCCCTTCCCACCCTGCTGGCTGGGGATGATGGGAGGCCCAGTCCCACCCCACCCCCTCTGAGGCGGGGAGGGGGGAGAGCGCGGAATCCCCCCCTCCCGTGCAGCGTCATCGTTAACGGGGTGGAGGGGGGACATTTCCCTTTTTTTTCCCCCTCATGAGGCGCCGCTGAGGCAAGAACGGCCGCACCGGGCAGGCCCGCAGCCCTCCCCGCTCGGGAGCCGAGACCCCCGGACACGCCACCCCGGCCCGGCCGGACAATGGGGGGAGGGCTTTTCTTCGCTCTGCCCCCCACCCACCCACCCGCCCGCCCGCCCCACCGCTTC